CGCACGGAAAAGCGAGCACGGGGGGATCGGAACAAGCAGCCCGGGCGGCGTGGAGAGCTGGCTGTGAAGGTGGCTCGTCCTACGCAGCGGAAAGCATGGCTCTAACGGCACAGAAGCCCCTACAGTGACACGCTAGCTGCGTCCGAGGAGCATGGTGGCAGCTATTTCCATTTATCTGGTTTTGCCTCTGCAAAGCAGGTGGAGTGGTTACCTGCTGAAGCCACTGGACCAGCCAACGCCACTGCCACCTCCTCTCCCTCAGCTCCCAGTCACACTAACACTAATGGGGTGTCATTCACCAGGGAGGGGTCTGCCACACCCTTTGACACCTTTATTCCACCCCCTCAGGAACTGCAAACACTCCCTCCCCTTTAGGCAGTGACAATGGGAGCTTTTTTTGGGGGGGGGGGGCGAGGGGAGATGTCATTGTAGCAGGCATGGCCAGATAATTTAAGATACAAAATATTTCTTTCTTTCTTTCTTTCTTTTTTTTTTTTTTTTTTTTTTTTTTTTTTTTTTTTTTTAATATAAGCTCAGATTCCTTCTGAGTGCTGGCTGGGAAAGTGGGGGCTGGAAACTCCTCCCAGGATGCGGGTGCATCTGATTTCTGTCCCGCCTGATGGCCTTGGGAAGGGTCTCCCATCTGCTCTGAACATCCCCCCCCCCCATGTCAGAAAACCTTCCCGCCTGCACATATTGGCAGGAGGCTGAGGTGGCAGGCGGTGCTGCTTTAAATAGGAAGAGGACCCCAGGAGGAAAGAGAGTCCCCACCTTCCCACCCCCAGAAGCAGACCTGCCACCGCCCACCCCCAAAGACCAAGTGCGGGCAAGGGCGACCCCCAGGAACAGCCAGGTTCCAGCTGAGGGGGTGAAGAATGAGTCAGCTGTGTGCTGTAGGAGCAAATCTCTCTTTGATTCTCAGGAGCTGGGGTGCCCCAGAACGGGTCTCCCAATTCAGCTGCCAACGTTTTAGGGTCCAAGCATCTGCACCTCCCAGGACCAGCCTCTGCATTTGTGTTGTTGCTCAGCTGATGCTGGGAGAGACTTCGAGGTGTGCTGGTCCATGTCTGCTGCTTCTGATCATGTGGGGGGGGGGGACGACGACGACGTATTGGGGGGGTCTCCTCTCACCAAGGTGAGTCCTGTGCTCTCCACTGAGGGAGCTGGGCTGGGGTTGGCTCTGGCAACCAAGGGCATCTCTCTTGTCAGGAAAATGGTGCCAAGTGTGCCCAAGGAACCGCCTACATTTCCTTTCCCTTCTCCCCACCTAAGTGATGGCCTTGCCCATTGTTGTTTCCTAACTTAATATCTGCATTATCTTCAGAACTTGCTCAGCTGACCGCAGCCCTTTCTACCCACCCCAGGAGGCAGCATCCCCCAGGAAGGGTTTCTGCCTCACTAAGTCAAGCTTGGGGTCACCTCTCCAGAGTTGGAGGCTGGATTTTAGAAGGTGCCTCGGGCCTTGGTGGTGAGCCTTGCTCTGTCTTTCTTACCATTTTCCAAATCAATCAGCATGCATCTTCCCATTTCACAGATGCGGAGACCGCAGGGGCAAAAAAGGGACTTGGCTTATTCAGCGTCCCACAGTGGGCAGAGAGTAAAGTCTGCACCAGACCCCACATTTCTTTTTCTTTTTTAATTTCATTTTAGAGAGAGAGGGGAAGGGATGGGGAGAGAGAAACATCCACAAGAGAGACAGAGAGAGAGAGACATCAATCTGCTGCCTTCTGCATGCCCCCTCCTGGGGATCGAACCTCACAGAGAGCCCACAGCCCAGGACGCGAGCCCTAACCCTGAATCGAACCAGTGGGACCTCGCAATGCATGGGACCATGCTCCCTCCACCCACGAGGCCAGACCCCCAATTTCTTGACGTGAAGCCCCTTTGCGCCGTGTTGAGGATGGTACGGAAGCTAATAATAACACACTGCTCAGGAAGCATCATCTATACATCAGACCATGTGCCAGACACCGCACACAAGTCATCATCACAGCAACTCAAAGGAACATCATTAGTCCAAGTAAGAACAAAAACTAAAACTATGAACATAATATCTGTATAAATCAGAATACTTCAAATAATACCGAAGGGCCAACTCTGCCATCTCTCCCAGACCACGCTGATGATTTTTGTCCGGTTAGTAGCTCTCCCCATCACGGATACACAGATGTGACAGATGCCTTATGAACGAGGAGAGGGAGGCTCATGATCAAGATATCCAGCAGTGGCTGCTGACGCCAGGCTCAGGGCTTCCATCATTCCACGTTAGCTAAGCCGAGTGGGGAGAACAAGGCGTGAGCGAGGCCACAGATAAAATGAAGGGTCAGGTCCGAGTTTACCTCACCCCTCCCTTTCCTCCCCACCCACCCCTTCTGTGCTCCGGCTATAGCTATGGCTTTTCAGGACCTGAGCCCACAGGTCCCCTCCACGAAGATAACCTGATGACCACTGGCGATGACTGCATTCCTTTCAGGCCTCCGTGCCAAGGGGACAAGCGGCTCTCCTCAGGCCGCTGTCACCCAAGTAATGTCACTCCAGTACTGCCACACCCTCCCCCATTCGGCCCCCGCCCTGGACTAGCTCTGGGACTGGGGTAAACCTCTTAAGCATTCCCTGCCTATCCCTCAGCATTGTTGGGGAGCTCAAAGGAGAGACAGGAAAAGGAATCCCTGTCCCGTTTGGGGTGGACAGTCCCAGGTGTGGCTGAGAGATGCTTGAGCCTGTCTCTTTGGGTAAGTGCCAAGCACCCAAGGCTGGCCTGGGACTGCTGCAGAGCAGGCAGGGGAGGGTGAGGGTGTGTGCTGGGCAACATGCGTTTGTTTATCTTGTGTTCTAGTGGAAAGGGAAGGGGTGTTAGGAGACAGATGTGATCATTCTTCCAAGAAGTTTGTCCTGTCCTAGAGGCTCCTTCATTCTGGAAGAATCTTTAGAAACCCCCTGAGTTGAGGGGACTCCAAGTGAGAGCAAATAATGGGCAGGGGGCCATGAGCTCCCAGGCTGTGCAGAAGGCTGGTGTGACTGAAAAATACGTCTCGACACTTGAGCGACACCCTGTGAAACGCACAAATCTTCGATGGTACCGGGGAAGAACCCGAGCCTCGGAGAGGAAGAAGGAAACGGATTTTCAATGAATGAAGGGGGCTGTGTTCCAGAGAAAACCAGTGACAAGGAGGGAAGGTCAGGCTTTCTTGGAGGCCCAACCAGGCTGCAGAGCCTGCCTTCCATGCCTGCGTCAGCACAAAGGATGCTGCGCCCCCTGGTGTCCGCCTGGCAGCCGGCGCCAGCTCCCTGCCGGCCTGGAACCCCAGGCCGGGCAGACACAGGGACCAGCTGTAAAGGTCCTGGCAGGAGAGCCGCCTTTTCTTCTGTTTGCTAAGGGAGTGGAAGTCGAAAGAGCCTTCGCTTTCCTCAACGCTGGAATCTGAATAGTGACTCTGATGTAGAGAGAGGAGGGTTTTGTTCTCGAATGCACTTCAGGCAGAAGGGACAATGCCTGTTTAGCCTGAAAGCAACATCCTGCATTTTAGGTAGCACACACGGGTGTGGGGCGAGTCATTGAACATTTTAGAATCTCACTTTCCAGGTATTAAAACCAAAGGGGCGAGAGTAAGATGTTTGTAGCTCTTTTCCAGTCTCTCCTAGTGAGATTTATTGGATAGCGTGTTACACTACTTTCCTAGAGCCTTGCAAATTTGACCTTTTTAAAAATTTCTATGAAGGTGCACATGTCATGTTTCAGCATCATGAGTTCCTGGTCCTGAGAAAAGGTGTTTTTTTGTTTGTTTGTGTGTGTGTGTGTGTGTGTGTGTCCCTCTTCCTTTTAAAAATGCAAACTATGCCTCCTTTTAGCACCGTAGCCATCCCCTCTGCCTTTTGTGGGGCCTCCTACAAAAAGCAGCAGAGTGAGCAGGCCTTCCGATGCTGCTGTTTCCTTTCAAAATAAAGCACGAACGTGTTGCGCTGGAAATTAGGCTCCTAGTGTGTTCCCTGTGGTAGGTGTGAATGTCTGCTTCCATAGTTCCAGGCACAAGACCAAAACCTTCCCCAGAATGAGCAGAGTTTTCAGCTACAGTCTAGCTCAGGTTTCCACCGATAGGTACACTGGCCAATCTGGGAGTAGGCTCTGTCCAATGGGGCTGTGTGGTTGGTTGGGTTCCACTGACATTTCAGGCTGTTCCTGGTATGGTCAGGTGATTTGCAGTAGAAACAGCCCCAGGGAAAAAGGATGGTGTCTTTGAGAGTTCATGCTCCTTAACCCTGCATGGTTAAGCTCTGAGATGAGGCGTCAGCTGTATCTCGTGGCAACATATCCTTCCTTATCTTGGTGCATTTTGCTTTTTTGTTTCTTTAAGAAACTGATGCAATCCTGCAAAGGATTACTGGAGGAGCAACCTTAGTTTTGTGGATGTGGAGGGAGTAGGCAGCCATTGCCCTGCAACAGAGAGTGCCAGCATTTGATGTGCTGTGTGGGAGGAGCAGGCCCTCTGCATGAGAGAGGTGAGCTGGGAGGAAAACCAGCAGCACAAACAAGAGGACCCCTGGCAGCTGTGGAGAATGGGGTTAGTGCAGTGGCTGGGAGCGCTGTGCTTCCTCTGGAGGGGACCAGCCATGTTCTGGCTTGGGATGGTTGCATCTGTACTGAACATATACAGACTTTTTGTGCTTGTCATTCATTATTCCCTAAACAATAGCATAACAACTATTGACATGACATTGACATTATTTTGGGAATTATAAGTAATCCAGAGATGATTTAAAGTAGGTGGGAGGATGTACCATATGCTATGCCATTTTATAAAAGAGGCTTGAGCATCTTTGGATTTGATATAGGGGGCAGGGATTCCGGAACCCATCCTCCACGCATACCGAGAGCCGGCCGTACTATTTGGTTTATTGCTCTGCTGTTGCCATCTTGACATTCTTGAGATTTTTAAGAAGGGCCCTTCATTTTTTTTGTTGCACTAAGGGCCCCACAAACTATGTAGCTTGTTGAACAATTAATATAATTTTTGGTCCTTGTTGACAATTAATGTAATTTTTAAATAATGTTCAAGTTAAGAGTTTGGCAGCTGAAACAAAATATGCCCGAGGCTGGACACTCATAGAAACCTCTTGTCACTAACTGGATGGAGACCTCCCATTCCCTGAGAACTCATGGGGAGGAATCTATGGAGCCTGGAGGCATTGTGGAGGTGAGAGAAAAGCTATTCCCCATGGGTGACTCCCTGAGACTCTGCAGGACCCGGGGTGGCCCTGACCAGGGTTCTTTCCTCTCTCGGGGGTGGGCCATGAGACCCTCACAATAAGAATATGTTGAGGAGAGGCCCAGCAAGAGGAGCTGAGTGTTTGGTTTGGGGCGAAGGGCTGGGTTGGGCCCCCGCAAATGATTGATGCTGGAAGTTCTCCCAGACTCATCCATCCAGACACTGAGCTGAGCCTTGGGAAACTGGATCTGAATCTGTATTGCCCAGTATGGCCATCAAGACCCTGTGGGCCAGTGCAGCCCCAGGTACAGCAACACAGAGACGTAGCAAGCAAGCAGTCGCAGTGCGAGGGGACTGTGAACAGGACTCTTTCTCCTTAGGCTGAGCCAGTCCCAGGATTCTTGAGGGGTTTTCAGTTGCACTGGGCTAGGAGGGCCAAGCTGCCTGGCCAGCCTGCTTCCAGGCAGACTGGACCGTTAACTGTAAGTAAATGATATACTTTTTCATAGAACATGCCATGCCAGTTGATTCCAAAGCTTTGGGAGAGGAAGTTTGGCCCCTGGTGAAAGGAAGGCCAGTCCTTGATGGAGCAGAGTCGTGGGGGATGTTATGAAGAGATCTTGTTTTTAAGGCTATGCACTGATTTATAGAACCTCACTGCAAATATTATAGCGGAATGTTTGGTCAGGAGGCCTGCTTTCTTAAGTTCTATTTCTGCCCAGGACTGGCTAGCCAGGGACTGTAAATTTTAAAAGAAGTCATTTCTTATACACATTTATGCAAACTCCCTCAGGGGGAAGGACTGAAAAACTGTTTGAGACAGTCTGAATTTCTTGGAAGAAAGTTGCTCTATAGAGCTATATATTTTTTTTTCTTTCTTTTTGTCACAGGTCTGCAGGACACAGGGAAGAACTCTCCCATCATGCAAGGGAGAAAATGCAATGCTCTACTGGCCTCTGTCAGGGAAGCTAACATTTCCCCCTCTCCCGTGCAAGTTTTCCAAACCACAGGATTCTGATTTCCAGGTCAGAGAATAAGGCCTTACTTTTGTTATTCTTTATACTTTGGCTGGGAAGAATCCCCCAGGGAGCATGCGAGGAACTGATTATGGTGAGCCTGTTTGAGGCGAGGCCAGGACTCGGGCACAACCCCTGGTGTGCAATCACCTGCTCAGTGATCTGTGGGCCTTAAGTCAGCTCCTATGGTCTACTGACCAGCACCACCACCCTCCCCAACCCCGGGGCTGGTGAGCAGAACTTCTCCTCTGGGTTTAGCCAATCCCAGGATTCTTAAGGGATTGGGTTCGTGAGTTCAATAGTTAAGAGGATTCAAATCTAAACTTGGCATTTCTGATTTAATTCCTAAGTGATGGTTGCCTTAAGCAAGAGGGAAATAATAAGAAACCTTGCTAAACATTTAAACTTAAAAGACCATTGGTTTAAGAGAAATGAAAACTATGTCCGTGAGAGTTCATAGCAGCATTAGATTCAAAATAGCCCCAAAGGGAAAACAATTCAAATGTCCACCAACTAATGAATGAAGAGAATGTGGTATATTTATACAATGAAATACTACTTGACAATAAAAAGGAATGAAATACTCATGCATGTGACAACACCAAAGAACCTTAAAACACTATGCTAAGTGAAAGAAGCTAGTCACAAAGGAACACATATTATAGGATTCCATTTATATGAATTCCTAGACTAGGCAAATCTATAGAGACAGAAAATAGACCAATGGCTGCGGAGGGCAGGGAGTCAGAGGGCGGGCATTGGAAGGCGATGGTACAGTGATGAACACATTCTACAGCTAATTGTGGTGAAGGTTGAACAACTCTGTGAATGTACCAAAGCCACTGGATTTTGTGCTTTAAATGGGTGAATTGAATAGTGTGCAAATTAAAATTTTTTTTTTAAAGATACTTTGAAAATGAGCATTGCTTTATGTCTCTTTTTTTCTGCAACTCACCACCTTGGGATCCATGTGCTCAGACTTACAAACAGATATGATGAGCTAAGTAAAACGGGAATGTGGAAAATTGTGATTTCCCCCGCAGATGGAAAGAGTGACTTGCAGGTCGGTTCCCAGCCACAATACTTGTACCTGTAACTGTTTTGAACTTTGCTGAAAAAATTTGCCTTAGGCTCAAGTCATTAAAATATGTTTAGACAACGATACATAAGTGGCTTTGTTGTTTCTGTCTTCTCATATTCCTTTCCGCTTCCTTAAGTAATAGCACCCCAATTTTCTCTATAGAAACCACCCACCTTCTTTTCAGTTCATGTGGTTTGAATATTGTTGACCCTTTCTCTGCCTCAGGCTCTGTGACTCAGGCCTGGTCAATCAGCACATTCTATTAAGTAGCATGTTGGAGCTGGCTCATACCAGCTCATCCGAAGCAACTCGTAAATTTTTTAGGAATTTGGTGAGCCGGTTGTTAAATATAATCGTTATTAAAAGTTAGATTACATGAACTTATAATTAAATGAATTATATTTAAAACAAAGTTAATAGGCCCTCAACATTCATTGCTTTCCTATTCACTTGAATAGGTTTTACTGTTTGTGATCTGTGCTCTGGAGTTTCCTTACACCTATTGGACGTACAGTATAAGGATAGAAGTACTGTATCAGGATGTGCTACTGTGTATCTCCTCCAACTTCAGGTTCAGAGACTTCCCAGGGGCAGGTGGACGTTAGCCACGGTGACGTATTAAACTACAGAATTAGGCAAATACTATATATACATCAGGGCTTCCCTTTTTTGTCAGGAGACAAACATGTACCAGCTTGAGGCGGTCCCCAGAAGCCATGTTTGTGTCCTGATCCCTGGAATTTGTGACTATACCTTATTTGGAAAAAGTGCCTTAGCTGCTGGAATTAAGTTAAAGATCTTGAGATGAGATCATCCCGGATTATCCCTGTGACTTTATGATATGAGGCAGAGAGAGACAGAGATTTGACACAGACACAGAGGAGGCGCACAGATAAGAGGAGGAGGCAACGTGATCACCTACCTAGGCAGAGATTGGATTGATGTGGCCACAAGTCAAGGAATGCCTGGAGTTATCAGGAGTTGGAACTAAATCTCCCCCAGGGTCTGTGAAGGGAGCATAGGCCTGGTGACACCTTGATTTCGGATAACTGGCCTTCAGAAGTTGTGAAAGAATAGGTGTATCTCTTTTAAGCCACCTAGTCTGTGGTAATTTGTTATGGTAGCCATGGGAAACTAATATACCTGCATACCATTGCAGCATAACACCATGGTTCAGGGATGGCCACGTGATCAGAGCTAGGGCAATGAAGTTTAGTTTCTACTGTAAAAGAAGCACTCTCAGACTGGAGGACTGCTGAGTGGTTCCATGTTGGTGACTATACTTGCCCACAAATGCAAACAGTGCAGAAAGTGGTCAAGTTGGTGTGTGTGTGTGTGTGTGTGTGTGTGTGTGTGTGAGAGAGAGAGAGAGAGAGAGAGAGAGAGAGAGAGAGAGAGAGAGAGAGAAAGAGAGAGAGAGAGAGAGGCATTCTAGACAACGTTGTTTGAGAAGCTGAATCTATTCTACCACTTGGAATTTTTATTATAGGAACAAATGACTTTTCATTTTAAACCAAGTTCCTAACCAAAACAGACACGTTGATTTTCAGAGAACATTTGAAAGCGCTTATTTGCACAGGCAGGGTTGTTGATATATACAAGTGCTATAATTTGATCAGTTACCATTTAAAAAATATATTTTATTGATTTTTCACAGAGAGGAAGGGAGAGGAATAGAGATCTAGAAACATTGATGAGAGAGATACATCGACCAGCTACCTCCTGCACACCCCCCACCGGGGATGTACCTGCAACCAATGTACATGTCCTTGACTGGAATCGAACCTGGGACCCTTCAGTCTGCAGACCAACGCTCTATCCACTGAGCCAAACCAGTTTCGGCTCAGTTACCATTTTGATCAGGCATAACTGACAACCAGGGAAATAGAAATCAAACAGTGAAGAATCTGGGATCTACCCAAATGCAATCACGTTTGTTTGTTTCACATACACTTACTGAACCCGATCACGTCTAAAGCACTCTGTTTAGGATGGATACCCATCCATTGAAGAACTTAGGATGAATTTGCCAGTAAGGTGTCTAATATAGCATATATCACTGAGATCACCATTAGTGCTAACTTTTTATTATTTAGTTCATATTCTTCTGGACTGTATTAAATTCATTTAATTTCACTATTTTTTTCCCTAGGGTGAATGTGTTTAATGTGCAATCAAAATATTTTAACTTTTTTTTATGAGATTACATTTAAATCTCATAAAAAAAATCATAAAAAATTTTTTTGTCAAATTGGATATTTTGAGTTGGGAAGATATCCTCAAAGTGCTTTTCAATGACGTTGTACCTTTGGTAATTTTGTACCTTTCAAGAATTTTTATTTCCCATTACCTTCCGCAATTTTTGAGTAGAGACTGGCATACTTTTGAAAGGAACTTGTCACAGAAAATCCCAGGGAGAGACATACTGTATTGAACCCATTTTAATATAAAAGAAAAATCTTTTTTACCTTCAGCATTTCTATCTTTAAACATTTTTCCACTTCAAGAGGTTTAAAATTAATTTTGTTCTCCATAATCCTATTTCTTTCCGCTACTTTCCAATACCTTTGTTTTTTGATGAGCACATTTTGGATGAATTCCCAGTCAACTTTTAAAATCTAATTAAACTCAGCTAAGTTTAACTCAGATCGCATTTAGAGTCAATTTCTTGATAGTTGAATAACCAGGGGCCTGCCTTGGGGATTCTTAAAACAAATGGTTCCTGAGGGTTGCTTGTTGCTGAACGTCCCTTTACTAGCACTGATGTCAGCAGCATCAATAAACTAATGCCTGCATGTCATGACTTAAAATAGCAATGATCTTTCAAATGCAAATATCCAAAGACTATATTATTTGCTAGCACTTTTATATTTGCTAGTAGCATTAATTATCGAAAGGAATTGTTTTGAGTATTTTCAAGGCCATTCCTCCCATAAATCATTAAACACATAAAGAACAAGAAAGCAAACTACACACACACACACACACACACACACGCACGGCCTTAGGAAATAAGAGATTTCACTAAGGAGGGATAGCATACATTAATCAATCAATAACAATTCAGGCCTAGAACAAGCCTCCTCTCTTTGCTACAAAAAAAAGTAGCCACCAAAATCTTTTGGGAGATTAGGATCATTATCAATATGGCCTTAAAGGAAAACATGAGAAAATAAAAACTGTTTTTATATCCCCTATAGGAAGCCTAAAATAAAAATTGGGAGCATATCAAGTTTACCAAAAACAGAGGAAAACAGACTAACATAAGCTTTAGGAGACCACTTTCTTTCCATGAACAAAGGCAGCTTTCAAATGTTGCTCACTCTTGATAACGCTGGCTCAAGAGAATCCAAGTAAGTTTGCTTTTTCCCTCAAGCTAAAAAGAAACTTACCATCAAAGTTAAATATAAGGAACCAGAAAAAATCAGTGATTTGTTCCTTGATGGAAAATTTGTGCCAGAGATATGAGTTTCGGGGTGTGTTTTTTCTTATACTAAATTATTTTCTTCATGTGGAAAACTGATAGAAATCTAGGTGAATGGATATAATTAAGTCGTTTTGTGGCTCCAACTCTAAATTAATTTTTTTTTCTCATCAAACATCTCAACATTTGCCCGGGAACCAGAGGAGAGGAACAGCTTTTTAAGAGTGAGGCCCTCAAACCTTTCCAGGCTGCCTGGACAAAGGTTTGGAATGACTACAATAGTGAACCATCCTGCCTTGGACCCGAATCTAGATTGATGACCTAATACATCTCTGCCTGCCATAGCTTTATGAGCATCAAGAACTGGGCGCTTGCCACTATCAACAAACAGAGCTTCCCCAGAGCTTAGCCATCCACAGAAACTCAAGTATCCCCCCAAGCACCGCTCACACAGCCTCCCCGGGCTCGCCGCGCTTCCTCTAGCTTTCACCACATGTGACATGGAAACTCCTCTTTGCCAGGATCACTCTTAAAGGAAAGGAAGTATGCCCGTTCCTCTCCGGTGTCATCTTGGTTTTTTAACAGAGCGATCACTGAGAAGCTAAGGCAGCTTAGTCTCAGCATCCTCCTTCTCCAGGGCCCCTCATTTTGTATTTGTACCTTTGCATTCTTTTTTTGTCAAAAAGAATCCCCTCAGTTGTAGAAGCTATAGACCATCCCCTCCACGCTCCGCTCCCCCAAATTGGGATCTGCTCTTCAACCCAAGAGAACTGACACTAAGTCTTATCTTGATGACAGTGTAAAAATTGAACACAAACTCTTTCTCGTCTTTTATGGACATCACCTACCCCTGGCCTGTCACCAGGAAGGATGAGATCTCTTAGTTTGAGCCTCTGGTCCTCAGATGTCCTCTCACCTAGAGCAGTGTTTCCAAAACCAGCCACACTTGAAGTGTCTTCTCTTTAGCTCATCCCTGGAAGACCATCCTACAGAGGACTAATTATTACAACGGCTCATAAACTCTATGAGCCGTTGTAATAATTACAACGGAAGTATCTCCATGCCTGGTCAAGTGGTATCACTGTTCCAATGTCAGTTCGGCTTTGTTTTCCAATAATTGATTTGGACTAGACTTCTATACCTTTTCGAACAGGGCTCTTGAGGGACCAAGCCACAAAAACATTTATTCTTTTTCTTATTAGGAAAGTATCGTGTGTGTGTGTGTGTGTGTGTGTGTGTAAAACATATCTTGAAACCTTATAATAATATGTAGCATAGAAAGTGAAAATCTTCCATAATCTCACACAGCTGAGAAAACTAGTTAACTTATTTTCAGAGCGTATATTAAAATTTCATTTATTATTTTACAAAAATAAGATTATACCCTCCACTTTGAAGAGTGCTATATTTATACCACTTCACAGTACGTCTTAGACATCTTTCCATGCCTGCCTGTAAAGAGTAATCTTTTTAGTCTTTTTTTTTTTTTTTAATGGTTCCATGGTATTGTACTATATGCCCGACATACTTTCCTTAACCAATTGCTGTTAATGCACGTTTGGGTTCTTTCCAATTTTCCCTGTAACAAATATTCTTGCATCGTTTTACACTTACATCTTTGAGCAGTTGTAGGAGTATTTCTCTATGATGAATTCCCAGAAGGTGAATTATTATTGGGTCAGAGGGTATGAGCATTTCATTTTTAATAGCTATTGCCAAATTGCTCTCCGATAATTTTATACCGATTTACACCCACAACCACACTGCAAGAAGGAGCCTGTCTCCCTTCCCCCCACTCCCTTCCCCCTCCCCCTTCCCCCTCCCTTAGCAACACTAAAACCATGCAATTTGGGGATGTCTGATGTGAGTTAGGAGTTAAGAGGTTCAGCCTGTGGGTTTTTTTTCCCTTTGTGAACAGCTAACAAAGAGATCAAAAAGTCTCCCCCTTTCCTTGATGAACCCCCTGCTCTGAGCAAGCCAATACCCAGACAGACAACTAGCTAATGTGAGAGGCGGAAAATTCTAACACCTACTGCTTGTGTCTAGCTGAATTTATTACAGACAATTTGTCCGTGAATGTGTAAGCAAATGTGTTAGTTATAGTATACTTAACAATAACTACTAAAGAAATATAAGTGGGTTCAGACTTTCGCACTGCTATTTCAATGTAAACAACACGTTTAGTAGTACAGCGTGAGAATGTTTACATCTGTACAATAGTTTGATTTCATCCCTATGTTTATTGGAGCAAAGTAATCTGGGGGGAAAAAATCTATTCTTTAAAGAGATGTAAAGAGTGACTTTGAATCAGCCCATGAAAGAAGAGCAAGGTTTGCCAAAAACCAGTCTTCGGGAGCTCATTTTGGGGGGTTACTATGGCTCATATTTCCTGAATTAGGAGCACTCAGCATTAAACTGGGGAAATTTTCAGGAGTTATCCAGTCAAAAGATTTGGAAACTCTACGCCACAAAGCCTTAGAGTTGCTTCAGAGAAACAGAAGAGGTTGGTAGAGGAGGAAAGTAGCCTGGGGTTCAAGGTTCTCGGTATTCCAACCCTAATCCCACCCTAAGAGGCCCACTTTGGTTAGGTCACATATTGTGTTATCTGGAGCAAGGTGATCTCTGATTTTCCTCACCTGTAAAGTAGACATGATAACACTGCCTGTTTAAGAGTAATGAAGTTATAATTAAATAATACCACCCACGTCAAGTGCTTAGTCCAGCGCCAGGCAAATCCCAAGGACTTAATCCATGTTTGCTATTTTATTATCTAACATGTTCCTTTAAAACAGGATTCTCCTTCTCATAAGTACATGCAAAAACCACTTAGTTGTTTTTTGTCTCCTGTAAAATATGGTGATTGTTTCAGATGGAGTGGTTTTATATGTATTTCTTGATTCCCAATCAAATGGTCATTTTCATTCTCAAACCCCAGGCCAAAACAGCTGGGATCTCTTAGGATCCTGTGGCTGCCCACACACCAGGAAGTGCCACCCGCCAGCAACTTGGCCAAGACCAGAGCCACTCTATCTGTCCTCTGGCTGATTTATGGCAGAAATATGACCATGCAAAGAAAAGTGTCCCCTGCCCTGTGGGAGAAGGCCCCTGTAGGTTCATCCCAAGAATGAACATGAAAGTTAACAAAATGTTAGGAATCGTACCTAGTTGCCATCTTTCCTGTGATGATAAGGGCAGCTAAAATGAATTTAGAAATAGAACACTTAAAACTCTCTACAACTGGCTGAATTTTCTCTTCTTGGCCGGACATTTTTAAGAGGAAGAATTCATCCAACAAACATACACTCTTATCAATCCTTTTCTTAGAAAAGCTTGTTTTCCTGTAGGGGCAGTTTGCAAGTTTTCCTAATGAATCACAGACATGAGGCGGGAGTGGGGAGAGCTTCAAGCCTTTTCCTTCTTGAATGGTTTAAACTTGAGACCAAAGACCCAGGAGGAGAAGCAAAACCTTCCAAACTGTGTGCATGTTTCCTACCCGAGAACTCCTTCCATGCCAGTCACTTCTGCTGCCTGAGAGCCAGACGTGGGTCTGGGGAGGGGCTTCTCTGTGTCAGGCCATTTGGGGGCTGTAGTAGACGTAGGAACAAGCAGACATAAAAGCTGTAGAATTAAGGGTTGAAAACAGCACTTAATGAAACCCCGCCCTCCAGACGCTCTTGATCAAAGTCTCCGCTTGCACTAAGACAATCGATCTACAGTTGCATACATAAAATGTTGGCAACACTCTGTCCTCGTGGCTTTCAACAGAGGTTTCAGGCCTCTGAAACTGGGCACGGTCCCAGAATTGAGACCCAGTTCATGACGCATACCAGAAGACACACCACCACAGCTGAGGCCCGTGCAACCACTTTCTTTTAACCTCGAGTCTGTGAAAAATTACTTTCCAAAAACATAAGTGAAACCCGATGTCTTCTCCGGGTGGTTATTTTTGCGCCTATGAAGTCAATAAAACTCTCCAGATTTATTAGACAGCCCTGCTGCGGAAGACAAGACCACTTCCTATTCCCCAGCAGAACCGTGTGCCTCTCCTTACTGTAACCTTCTGACCACAGACTTTAATTTCACTTTTTTCTTTTTCCCAGAAAAGTTGGTCAGAGCCCCATAGGTAAGTGAGTAGGCCTGCTTTCAAATCCCAATCTCTGGCACCAAGAGTGACCAACGGAACAATGCCAGGCTCCCCTGGCTTTTCTCCTCCTCCTCCTCCTCCTCCTCCTCCTCCTACTCCTCCTACTCCTCCTCCTCCTCCTCCTCCTTCTCCTCCTCCTTCTCCTTCTTTGTAAATATTTTATTGATTTTTTACAGAGAGGAAGGGAGAGGAATAGAGAGTTAGAAACATCGATGAGAGAGAAACATCCATCAGCTGCCTCCTGCACACCCCCTATTGGGTATGTGCCCGCAACCAAGGTACATGCCCTTAATTGGAATCGAACCTGGGACCCTTGAGTCTGCAGGCCGACACTCTATCCACTGAGCCAAACCAGTTAGGGTGGCTTTTCTTCTTTGTTTCTTATTTCAGAGGGACTCTCTTTTCTCCCCAGCAGAATCAGCAAGGAGTTTGGCTGTTTCTCCTTTCACCACCCTATCTATTAAATGGAACAACAACCAACAATTCCGCCTCCTGTGAGAGCCCCCAAACTGTGGATTGATGACCATGGTAATGACAATTGGATTCCATTTTATTTAACACAACAGTATTTGTTGAGCCTGACTACATATGCCAGGCTCTCCTGGGTAGAGAGATGCAGAGGATCATGTGCATTCTTTCTAGGAGCTTAGAGCTTACTGGGGGCAATAAACATGTTCACAAGTAAAAGTCATTGAGTGTGACAGATTATTAATAATCAGACTCTTGTGGGATATAAAGGCTCGAGCATGGAAAGGTAATGAAAGGCTCCTCAGAGGAGATCACCCTTGGGCTGTGTGTTTAGAGGTGAATAGAAGTTCATCAGGTGAACCTGAAGAAGGACAAGCCCAGCTGAGGGACCAGAGGTTCAGAGGTATGAAACAGCATGGCACGTTCAGAACCTGAGAGTCCTGTGCATTGGGAATGAAGGTCAAAACGTTGTAAGCCAAGTGTGTTCGCACATGAGGGTGGGTATATTTTTAGGTGATGGGGAAATGCTGAATAAATTAGTAGCTTGGAGGAATTGTAGATGATCAGGAGAGGGGGTGGTGAGTGGCTGAGTGCTCTACAGCAGAGAAATTAGGAGACCCTGGACTAGGCCAGTGTGGTAGCCATGGAGAGGGAGGTGTCGGGTGATAGCAAAGAAGACAGAGTAGTAGTGACAACAAAGAAGGTAGTACAGTGGTTAAGATTCCCACTCCAGAATGATTTTTAAGCAGTTGTATTCCATTACTGAAGGGTGAAAATGACCCCCAAATTGCATTTAATTCTAAGTTATTGGCTCACTAACATTTTTTTCTCCACCTACTTGCAAAAACGATTTGAGGTAGGAAAGCAATTCTGTAGCTAGAGCCAAGATTACCCTGCCTGACTGTGCAGCCTTGCCCATCTATGAACTGGCGAAGAGCATTTGTAGGACATCATCCTTGGTTCTGTCATTCAGAATATTATTTAAAGAAATTGATGCTGTCTTGAAGAGCTTGAGTTTTGATTATCCTCATGTTAAAATGCCACACATGTCAACTTAACTGGCACTTCCTTGGATGATAACTTCTAGCTCACTCACATTTTAGGGCACTAAGAGAGAAGGTGCTCTTCTCTACATGACTCATTTGGTTTTGGCAAAGAAAAGGAGATGAAGTCTGGTATTCGGGAGTCAGATAACTCTTGGTTTGTTCCATATGCATTTGGGCAAGACAGCTCAGCTCAGTTTCCCTGACTGTATAAAGACTACATTAATATCTGCCTCATCAGTTAAGAAT